AATGAATGAGAACATGAGATATAAGTAACCTGGTTAGATCTGGATCAGTGGTAGATTCTATAAAGTTTTGTTCTAATTGTCACCAAAGCTATGGCCTGCATAAGCCACCACGTTCTCTCTCTCTTCAAATTGGGCAGGTTTGTTTTGCAGGCAGTTAGTAACTTGTTAAAAAATCAAGCTGTATAATTCTCTTTTTTAAATTTTATAGGTGCCTTTTCTGAGCTTTTCAGTATGTAAGTCCAAGAAACAGACAAGACAGCCTCAGCAGATATGATTTGTCTGAGGAAATCATTCCTGAATTTTAATTAAATGATTAATAAACCAGGTTTAAAATCAGACAATGTACAACCTAGTGGAATTGAAGTACATTTAAGTTGAATTGTTCTGCATTAATTTTAGATTTAATATCATAGAATATGTAGATTGGAATGGTCAGTTTTAGCCTATGTGTGGCCAACACAAATCTTTAAACAAAAATCATGTTATCAGAGTGTCGTTTACTTTGGTGGTCATGTGCCACCATATATACTCACTAGTACTATTCTTGCAAAATGTTATCCAACTTAGTATAACCTCAGAGTGGTTTTAGTATCTGCTGATAGTTGACAGAGGGACACCAAACTGTTTGCTGAGCATGAACAAGTCAGACTGTAAAGAATACAAAAAGGAAGTTACTAAAACTATGTTTATTATTTGAGATCTTTATAATTGGCAAAAACTAGGAAGTGACTTTTTAGTCACTTTTACTTTCACCTCCCAGCCTCCTTCCCCCAACATGGAAAGGATCACCCGCTTACCAGGATACTGTGCAGTATTCTTTTTCCAGTCATGTTGGGGTATGTTGATATTTATCAGTAACTGCTTCTTTCTGACTATTTTATGTAGAATTTTTTATGTTAAATATTTGTTGGACTAAAACTGAGAATTCTGTTTTTTGTTTTTTTTTTTTTTTTTTGTCTTTTTGAGATAGGGTCTCTCTATGCAGTTCAGGCTGGCTTTGGGCTCACTTTGTAGCCCAGGCTGGTCTTGAACTCACAACGATCCTTCTGCCTCAGCATCCCCAGTGCTGGGAGTAGAGGCGTGTACCACCATGCTTGGCTAGAATTCTAAAATTGATTTGGAATTCTTGACTTTAATTAGTTAAATTTTGTCTAAAGTGAAATGAAAGTGAATCATGGAACAAATAGTACTTATTTGAAAGTTAAGTACATAAAATTTTTCTGACTGTCGTGACATAATTCAGTTACTGATGTGAACTATATAATGACAAAAGAAGTCTATAAACTGAATTATTTAAAAAGTATTTTAGGTGACACCATTGTCTTTCTATTTAGTTTTTTTGTCTGTATGTATATTATTTTCAGAATTTTAGACACTGTTCCAAGATTTGACTCAATAGCAATCATTATACTGAAGTGAAACTTGGCACAAAATCTTTATATTTCATTATACCTCTGTTTTCTAAAACTGCTTATTAGGTCTCTCCCACAATGCTTTAGCCAGAGATACATTTGTTCTTATCATCTAGAGGACAGTATATCTGGTACTTATCTAACCAATGACTAGAAATAGCACTTGGGCTACAAGACTCCAAAGTTTTTGTTGCTTAATGTGTACACATTTTTAAGTCTTATGTTGGCCTAAGCAAACCTATTTGAAAAAGATGCAAAGTATTTTAAGAGAAGTGTGAGAAAGAGAATTCTAAAGCACAAGGAATACTGAGACTGTAGTTAGTTGATTTTAGTATGACGTTTTAGTGTTTGCCCATCCAAAGCACAATTAATAATTGTGCTGAAATTTTCCCAGCATTCCAGTATTTACTACACTGTTCTAGTTTTTTAGTACTCTAACCTCTGATGTTTATCTTACTTCCTACTGGATGATAGTTACCCAGAGAAAGTCCGTAAAGTTACTTATCTATGCTGCTTGGTGATTCATCTGACCCCGGTTATAACCATATTAGTGTTCTGATTTAGTATTAATTCTATATTAGCATGTCCTTATTCTTCATAGCTTGTCAAACTTTGCATAAATATATTTTTAATTGTGATAGAAGGGTGTACAAATTATCACAATGCATCTCTACCTCCATATCTTGAATGGCAGAAACTCTTTATGCATAAATATTTCATTTTAAAGACTATATGAAGTGCAAATATTCTAACATATGTATAGCTTTTAAAGATACAAGATTATTTACTTTCACATAAATCAATACATGTTTCTGTAGAAAAAATATTTCATTTAGTAAAACTTTATAAATTATATTACAAGGAAGCAGGGAATATATACTTTTTAATGTAGAAGTGACATTGTTCTTTTTCGACATCAGAGACATGTTAAAAGTTGATTCCTAGTACTGTTGTACTTTTTTGAAACACATGTTAAATATCACATTATCATATATAAAATGTAGACTGGTATGTAGATTGTACAGTAATACACCATTTTTGTCTGTACACCAATTTTTAGACAGTATTAGTAGGTTGAATATTTGTTTCTTTCTAGAACATGTTTTATTTCTACTGTGAAGAGTATTAGGCTTTATCTGCTACAAAGTTGTATATCCTCTCACATAAACCACACCATTGCTGTTTTGATTTAGTATTTACATCATGGACCTAATTATGATATTTCTTTTATGCTGCCCTCCAAGGACTGTCAATCACTTGAAGAAATTATTGTTAACTGAGCTGTTGACTGTTTCCCTTACTGGTTGAAATTTCTGTGCCAATACTTTATATAAATTAGCAAAATTTCTGCTGCCAGACCGTATACCTTTAACAGGAGATGCTACAATAAAATGTTTAGACTGTAAAGTTTGGGGACACAATTTTTCATTACAGCACAATATGAGTGTGTGTATGTGCACTCATAGCTTTATATGTTTATTCTTTTTCCAAAGTCCTTCCAGCTATTAAAAGTACTGTAGTCTGGTAGTGCCTCAAATGTTGGTAATTTTTTTTATATTTACAACCTTTCTAGTATTTGTCTTTGTAGCTTAAGGTTTTTTTATTAGACTATTTCTAGTTAAGCTATAATTTGGAGGCATTATTTTCAGGGCTGTTCATGCTAAGAGTTGAAGATTCACTGTTTTAAAGCTAACTGCCTGAAAATATAAAGCAAAATTTTCTCAAATTGCAACACTGTAATACATCCAATATTATGCAATACATTATATAATTATGTAATACTGTTATGCTTTTTTGGGTACCTTAAAATGTTTACATTCTGAACTCTTATTATATGAGCTAGGAACACATTTAGTATATGGAAATATGGTTCTTAGGTAGTATGAGAGCAAAAATATGGGCATATTTCCATAAACAATATATTGTACTGATAAAGTTTTAAATTTTCCAGAGTCATTTAAACAATATTTCATAGGTTTCAAGCCTTTTTTCTGCTAGTATTCAGAAAAGTAATAGGCAACAAATTCTAAGAAAAATTCATGGCAGAAATCCTAAAATTGATGAAATTCAATCTATTAAGTTCAATCTATTAAACTTTTTTTCTCTAAATTGGGTGTATGGTGCTATTATTAGATTTTAGCAGTAACATTTGGAGTTAGTTTGAGGGACACAGATGTTCTGTGGGAACATGGCCTGAAGTCACCATGTAACTCAGTGTTTTTCTATTAAATAAACATCTGAACACCAATTTAACTACTAAGTGAGGTCAAGTGCTTGAAAAGTGCTGTATACATCTAATAAACATGCTTCTTTATGTGAAAAATACATCTTTTAGCAATGCACACCAAGCTTTCATCCACTACAAACATCCTTATTGCCAAACTTTGCCATTTGTTCAGCACTATTCTCCTCTCCTTATAACAGGTAGAACCCTATTTTACAATAAAAACATTTATGTGAAGTCCTTAAAACCATTTCTTGATATTGGTAGAATTAGATTTGTCTCGGTTCAAGATTGCACTTTTGAAAAACTCTGGACACTAAACTATATTCAGTAATGACTGAACAAATAAGTCATAGTTGTGATCTTTCTTGAGAAAAATTCTTTATTATGGTTAGATCTACTATAAATAAGCACTCGTTTATTACAAAGTGCAATGCATGTTAGTAGCTCTGTACTGGTATGATAAAAATGAGTAGTTTTATATTGTTACATGCTTTTATCCTTCTCTCCCAAAAGGTAGTTGAAACAAGATTGTCTAATCCATTGGCACTTTATTAGTAGTACATTTTATTTGTCTTAGATATGGGAGAACTCTTGCTTTTACTTGTAGAGATTCAGATGTTTTAGTCAAAATTTTAAAATTGTAAGATGTATGGATATGATGTGTGCATTTTACATTTAAAAATGAGTAAAAATACAAATGTTAAATCTTTGGCTATACTAAAATATCCTTTAAAATGTAGATAATAAACTTACCAATTATAACATTTTGTTACATTAAAATATACTTTCCTGTTAATTTCATCAATTACATTAGAGAAAAATAAAAATTTAAGGGAAAAAAGAAACATAGTACCATCTGAGCTGATTGAAGGCATATAATAACCGGGTATAAAGTTAGGATGTAGACATTCAGAGAAATAGCTCCTGTTCCTGAATGACTTGCTAAATTCCTTTTGGCACTGAATATGTCGTAAACTCCCAAATTAAAATAAAATGCAGGAGACATGATGATGGTCATGTAGTCTTTGCCTGAATATAACCTGTCTCATAATATTCTTTTCAAGCCAAATTAGTCTAACTCTCAGCAATCCTTTTCATCTTTCATAAATTTTGAGTAATATTCATATTCTGTTTAAATATTAGGCTCAATTATGACTTAGGAATATGACAGTAAGACTGTAGGTATTCAAAGTTACATGTACCTCCCACTATAGATATGAAAGTAGTTTTGTGGGCTGCTTATTGGTAAGGAATTCACTAATTAAAATGCATTTTAAAACACATTGATTTAAATGTACTACCTAGTGTTTACAATCAAATTTGCTAAGACCCCCATCTAACTGTTGGTTTTTCTTCTAAAGCAAATGAAAACTCTCCAGATGTCCTCGAGTAGTGACCAGTTTGATATCCCACTGTCACAAAGAAACATGAAGGGTCTCTCAGAGATGACCTCCAATGATCCGAAGTCATGCACCCAAGGGGCTGTGTTAAGTTTTCATAACATCTCCTACCAAGTAAAAATGAAGAGTGGTTTTCTATTTGGTAAGAAAACAGTGGAGAAAGAGCTATTATCAAATATAAGGTATGTGTTTATCTTTTAAAATTAGTACTTTATTGACCTAAAATTAATTCTATAGGTTTTCCATATTACCAATAATACGCTGGGCACTTTTGTTCCCATGTATATGTACAGATAGATAGACAGACACATAATTAAACTTATTTGGCTAACTTCGGATGGAAAGTGTTGGAACACCTTTTCTTTTCTCATCAAGACATTTTAAAAAATGATATGCATGTATATATCAGAAGATGAAGGGAAGAAAAATGTGGTATTTTTACACTATGGAGTACTACTCTGCTGTAAGAACAAACCTGAGTCATTTATAGAAAAACAGATGTGCCATGATGTTAAGTGAAATAAATCAGACCCAAAAGCTTTGTTTTGTCCTCTAAGGTGACAAATCAAAAATATAAATAAAGAGAAAAATAAAAGATAGATAATAGGATATAGGAACATAGATTTTGCTCAAACGGACAGGGGATCAAAAATGGAGGGAGAGATGTGGAGGGAAGGGAAAGGAGGTGAGAAAAATATTGAGATGTGTTATGTACATGCAATGACCCACCTACAAATAGTAATCAGTATGTGATGCAAACATGTACTGAAATAATAAAACTGAAAAATTAACATATGTATATGTCGTATACATATACATAGGCATAAGAGACCTTTTCCAGTCTGTTTCAATGGTCAGAATTAGGGTTTATATGTATTCATCAATGTATACACACATGCATACATATAGATATAAAACCCTGACTTTTCATTAATTCACCAAGTCTTTCCATCTTCTCACATTTTCAAGTTTGTGAAATCTTAAAAAAGTATTTGAATCCCATTATTCTTAACATGCTTTCTAATCTGCTGGGTCTATTTTTTTGTTCTCTAATACAGGCACTTTCCACACTTGGCTATCACCTCCATCCTACCCATCCCTCTCCCTTTACAGCTCATGTTTTTGGGACATTGCAATTGCTGCATCTCCACACAGAATTCCCCCATCTGCCCATTCAGAAAGGGGTGGGGGAGCAGTAAGTCTAGTCGGAATTGTTGACAAAGTATTTGAAAGTGAAATAACAAATAGGAATGGAAGCAATTTTTTTTTATTTTAAAAATAAAAGAAGGAAAACATAAATAAACAGACAATCATTTACAAAATAGCAAAAGAACAATACAAACAATACAGAGTTACAAAAAAGTGGTAGGAAATTAACGATGCTTGTTGTATTACATATTGATATCTTCAAAGTGGTTTCTCAGGAAAACAAATGAAGACATGCAATATTGATCAATCAAGGAATCATTAAATGTTTCTTTCAGCAAAGAAATAGAAGATAGTAGTTCAATTATGTTAACTGTCCTGTATATACATGCATACAAAATTTCTCCTTCTTTCCCTTCTCTCTTCCCACATCTGGAAGCAATTTTTATCCAGGCAGAACATAGCTTTTTTTCAGTACCTTATTTGCTGCTTCTTGACTTCTGTTTTTTATTAGGCACATTTTTATTGTTTTCTTAAAAGTATTTCTTATTTAGAAAAATTGAGAAAATCATTTATTTGGCAAAATTTGAATGTGTATAGGTGCCTGACACTGTAAAAAATGACCAGTGAAACATATATGTCCTCTTGATCTCAGAAATCTTAGAGTGTAATGGTGATTTAGAAAACTAGGGCACTTTTGCTGTGGTTCCATCTGTGGTATATAGATGAAAAGACACAACAGAAGCCCATAGCCCTGAACTGGAGGGCTGCAAGCATGGAGACAAGAATGTGAGAGGTGCTGAAATGAAGGCAGGGAGGTGGGCTGTGCTCCACGGTGGCATTGATGTTTCTTGTCCATAAAGAGACCAAGGAGTGACTGTGATCTATTGAAGTGGGCAAATGTGACAAGGATTCTTATGGTCAGTTGCATTTCGTGTAGTCAATACTCAGTGTGCCACGGGGTGGGGAAGGGAAGGAAAGGAAGTGGTATCAGTATGACATGTTAGTCATGGGAATTTTACAGTAGAAAGAAGAACTATTGCAGGCAAGTATTGTAAAGCTGTGAATGAGACTGGGATGGCATGAGAGTGGTTACAGACTGGCAGAGAGCTAGGTGAGGAGACCAAGGAAAATGCACCATGGACCAGAAGAGCGGCCAGCAAACCCTTGTGTCAAAGGCCAGATGTTAAACAGGTTCAGCCCTTTAGATCTGTGTTGTACTGAACTGCACCTCTGCAGCATGAACCACAAACATGACATGTCTTGTTTGTTTCTTTTAAAATTTTATTTAAATTCTATTTTTAGAGGTAAAAGAAACAAAACATATTAACAACACAGAGACATAAACAAAACAACATAAAAACAATATTAACAATACAAAAATTCAGTCAAGGTGAAAAGAAATTAACAGTGGTTACTGCATTACGTACTATTATCTTCATATTGGTTACTCAGATAAACAAATACAGACATGCAAGAATGATCAGACAATTAAATATCAACTGTTCCTTTCAAGAAAGCAATAGAAATTAATAATGCAATTATCCTGGCTGATAAATATATATATTTCCCTTTCTTCTTTATTTTCTCCTTTCCCTCATGCAAGTCGTTCTTTCCTTTTGAGCAGTTTCTTTCCCTTTCTCACTATCTATTGTACCTTTTAGATTTCATTTACTCTTTCAGGTTCTTATATTAGGGAGACAATACAATGTTTATACATGTGAGACATTTATTTTACTTATGAGTATGGTTTATAGTGGCAACCATTTACCTACAAAAGCCTCAAGTTTATCTTTCTTTATAGTTAATATTCCATTATATAAAATTACCACAGCTTTTTTATCCATTCCTCTGCTGATGGACATTTGGATTGTTTCCACAATTTAGCTATTACAAATTGAATTGCTATAAACATGGGTGCACAGATATCACTGTGGTATGTTTTTCATTCTTCAAAAAAATACCCAGAAGTGGAAGAGCTGTATTGAATGGGACCTCTAATCCTAGTTTACTGAGGAATCTCCAATCTGATTTCCACTGTGGTTTCACCAGTCTACACTCCCAGCAGCAGTGGAGAAGAGTTCCTTTTCCCCCACAGTCCCTCCAGCATTTGTTGTTGGTTGATTTCTTGATGATAGTCATTCTTTCTGGAGTAAGATGGAATTACAGTGTTGTTTGAATTTGCATTTCTTGAATGACTAATGATGCTGAACATTTTTCATGTATTTATTTGCCATTAGTATTTCTTTATCTGCGAAGTGTGCATGCATCTCTTTATATATTCTACATAGGAGTCCTTTGTCTGAGGGGCAGTTGGCTAAAATTTTTTCCCAGTTTGTGGGTTTTCTCTTTACTCTGCTGGTGACTTTAGATGTGCAAAAACTTTTCAATAAGATGAGATCCCAGTTGTTGATTCTTTGAAGAATTTCTCATGCAGTTTTCTTTTTTCTCATGAACTCTCTGCTTACTGCTAGGTATTCAAGACTTCTACCTAATTTTTATTCCAGTAGGTTTAATGTTTCTGTTTTAATATTGAGATCTGTAAGGCATTTTAACTGTAATTTGGTGCACAGTGATAGACAGGGGTCTATTTTCAGTGTTTGGCATGTGGCAAGCCAGTTTTTCCACCACCATTTATTAAAGAGGTTATCTTTCTTCCAGGGAATATGTTTGGCCCCATTGCAAAGATTAGGTAGCTAAATGTGTTTGTGGTTGTGTCTGTTTCTGCCAGTCGGTTCCATTGATCCTCAGGTCTGTTTTCTTGCCATTACCATGCTGATTTTATAACGGTAGCTTTGTAGTATAACTTCAAGTCAGGGATTGTGACTTGCTTTTGTTTCCTAGGATTGCTTTTGTTATTCTGGGTCTCTTCTGATTCCAGATGAATTTTAGGAATGTTTTCTCTACATCTGTGAGGTATTCTAATGGTATTTTAATTGGGATTTCATTGAATCTGTAGAACAATTTTGGGAGTATGGCCATTTTCACAATGTTGGTTCTTTCCATGAGCAAGGAATATCTTTCCATTTTCTGAAATCTTCTTCAGTCTCCTTTTTCAGAGTACTGTAGTTTTCACTGTTCACTTCTTTTGTTAGATTAATTCCTAAGTATTTCAATTTTTTGGATGCTGTTGTGGAATTTATGGTTTTCTTAATTTCTCTCTCAGTGTGTTTGTTGTTTGTGCATGGGAATGCTATTGATTTTTGAGTGTTGACGTTGTATCCAGCTATATTACTGAATTTGTTTTTTAATTCTAGGAGTCTTTTGGTGGAGTTTTTGAGGTCTTCCATGTAGAGTACCATGTCATCTGCAAATAATGAGAATTTCACTTCTTCCTTTCCTATCCTTCCTTTTATTTTTCTCTCTTGTTTAATTGCTCTGGTTAATGCTCCCAGAACTATGTTGAATAGGAGTGGTGGCAGTGGACATCCTTGTCTTGTCCCTCATTTTAAAGTGAAAGCTTTCAATTTTTGTCCATTTAGTATGTTGGCTGTTGGTTTGTCATAGATAGCTTTTTTTGTTTGTTTGTTTTGTTTTGTTTTTTTTTCTGGTACCGGGAATCAAACTCACGACCTCATGCTTGCCAGGCAGGTGCTGTGCCGCTGAGCTAAATCCCCAGCCCCTGTCATAGACAGCTTTGATCAGGTTGAGGTAAAGACCATCTATTCCTGTTTTCTGTAGGGTTTTTATCATGAGTGAGTGTTGGACTTTATCAAAAGCCTTTTCTGCATCTATTGAGATGATCATGTGGTTTTTCTCTTTGGCTCTGTTGATATGGTGTATTACATTAATTGATTTGTGTATATTGAACCATCCCTGCATTCCCGGGATGAATCCCAGTTGGTCATTGTGTATGATTTTCTTGATGATTTGCTGCATTCTGTTTGCTTGTTTTTTATTTAGATCTTTGAATCTATGCTCACTAGGGACATTGGTGTGTTGTTCTCTTTCTTAGTTGGGTCTTTCTCTGGTTTTGGTATCAGTATAATACTTGCCTCCAAGAATGAGTTAGGGAAAATTGCTTCCTTTCAATTTC